ATTATACTTTTAAAAAAACTTACTTTTATCGCATCAATCACTGCAGGAGATAGTAATTGCTTCTTACCCAGTCTATGCAATAAGCTTCTTAAATTTGAAACTCTTTCGGATAATCGAACACACTTTTGGAGGAGGAGCTTTTTGTGTAGGTCATTGTAAGTTGCACATTTGACAAACGTATGCCAAGTCTCATCAGATGTAAAATCCGATCTTTTAAATACCTCTAAACCTTTTCCAGGTAATAGTAAATAAATTTTTTTGTTGCAAATAGCATCATTTTCAGGACTTCTGGAAATTTTATATGTATTTACATAATTGTCTGTAAATGGTAATAAATATGTATTACCTCTTTCTCTTTAAACTTTCGTTATGCGATACTACGTGCATATCAACATTTTCAGTTGATATTGGTAAAAAAGTTTCAGTGCCACTGTTAGTATCAGCGTACTGTTCTTGTTTATTTGTTATGCACTCTACATTTTCTTTGTCTTCATTACAATTATTATCACAAAATAAATTTTCATTTATGACATCTACATGGGGCTCGGATTCACTATCTACTGCATTACTTAATAATTGTAATGGGTTTTCTTTATTGATCACATTTGAATCACAATTCAATTTCCTGTAATTCAATCATTATAAGCAACAACAGTTACTCTTTAATTTAAACATTTTTGTCATTAATTACATGACTTCTTATAATTATAATCTTAATAAATAAAATGAAAAGTCGTACCTATTTTTGCAACTAGGAATTGCAGTGTGAAGTAAACGTCTACTTTCATAATTTTTGTAATCACATTTTTTAAAGTGATCACTGCAAACTCTGGCAGCATAATTAATAGATTTTCCAATAATATCACACCATTTTTTTTTCATATTTTCATCTTTGGGAAATCTAAAAAAACATTCCATCATTTAGTAAATACAAATCTATTGAATACGGTTTTTTAGTACGTGTTTTAAATATATCTACCTATGAAAAGAACGATTTGAAAGCCAATCACTTTCTTTCCCACAAATACAGCACGAATTCACCATCTCTACTTTTAAATTATTTAATCATCCTTATTTCAACACTTTTTTTCTACCTTGGTTGCTATGTTGCACCAGAAAACGAGGAGAAATTACATGACTATCGCGTTTCCCCTACTTCCTCACTCTTCACTCATAGAAAGAGAAAACCACGCTGCCCACACTCTCTGCCCATTACTCTCTCTCTTTTCCGCACGTTGTGATCAGTGTCCCATTTACACACTCGGTCTATTCTTATATGTCTATGGCGTAAACGTGTAAATTGAAATTTTGGTCAGTTACTGAGCTAATATCTGCAACTAATCCATAGTTGTTACATACTGATAGTTTTGGAGTTTTATAGGCTTAAAAAATTGTCA